GGAAGGGCAGGAGTTGGAGAAAAAGAACAGAGAGTTTGTAGTCAATCTGTGCTTGTACAGGGAGCCAATGAAGTGATAGAAGAAGTGGTGTGACGTGTTCACGTTTTTTTGCCTTTAGAATTAGCCTTGCACATGAGTTTTGAACCTTTTGTAATTTTCCAATAAAGTGTTTTGGTGAACTATTCCCAACTGTTGAGACAGAGCCAGAAATTTGCAATCCTTTTTAGTTCTTTAAAAAATAAAAGAAATAGCTTTTTTGTTGTTGTTGCAGTCGTCATTTACATGTTCCATTTTCTGTTTATGTCCATAGACCCTGGGTCAACCAAAGAGCCAGAACCAGAAGAAATTATCATTCCTGTTGTTAAAAAAGAAACAAAAGTAGAGCCAGAAAAAACGGAGAAGAACAATACAGCAGCAGCCAAGCGACAGAGGAGAACAAAGAATGATATAAATGAGGAAGATGCTAAAGTAAGTTTAAAAAAAAAAAATATTTTTTATTTGATTTTGATAACGAATGGGTCCTTAAACTGGAAATGTAAGATAAAACAGGATAAACTGTTTTTACAATCACCATCGCCATTGAAATTAAGGTCTGGGAGGAAATACTAGAGACTGTAGGCAGCTTCAAATACCTAGGAGCAATAGTCTCAGAAGAAGGCTCCAAGCCCAAACTGATGTCCAGGATTGCCCAGACCACAACAGCACTAAAGAAGCTCAAGAAAATATGGAACGACAAAAATATAGCCTCCAGCACCAAAATCAGGCTGATTTGTTATGTTTTGTTATAAAGAATATTTTCCGAATTTCTGTAACACTCATTACATAACATGAATTAGAGATTAATATTTATATATCTACTATTTCCAATGTTTGGAACTTAAAAATGTTTTTTTGATTTTATATTTGGTATGCAAATCAATTTTAACTGGGAATTAGTCTGAAAAACTTAGATATCCTTTATTTCTCTGCAGGAGGAAAAAGATAAGGCACAGAAAAAAAAGAAGAAGCGCAAAGTGGCCAAAAAAGAGACGAACGGGGATGACTCACCCCATGATTTTCAGATTGACCCCAATGAACCAACTTACTGTTCTTGCCACAATATTTCTTATGGAGAAATGATAGGGTGTGACAATGAGAAATGTGTCATAGAGTGGTACCATTTTGGTTGTGTGGGTCTCCGCACAAAGCCTAAAGGGAAATGGTATTGTCCTGAATGCAGGGGAGATAAGTCAAATGTGAAACGGCCGGATAAGTAAACCACTGATGAAATTGTCGTTGTGTTAAAAAAAAAATATAGAAAAGTGCTTCTAATTCTGGGCTGCTTTAATATTTTCCGGAAGGTATTCATGGACACAAATTGATATTTGTAGTGTCACTGTTGGCTCAAAAATACCTTTTGGATTTCTTGTAAATGCTCCCATTGTTTTTAGGGTCTCCTCTTTCTAAGAGTTTGAGAAGCACTCCGGTAGGGCAGTAAAGCTAAGTCAATCAAAGTATTAATGAATGTCAGACTGAACATTTATGACAGACAACATGCCACATTAATGAATGTCAGACTGAACATTTATGACAGACAACATGCCACATTAATGAATGTCAGACTGAACATTTATGACAGACAACATGCCACATAATAGGAATTAATAAGATATTTGATTGATCTAATGGATTTTTTAACCCTCCCAAAAAGGTTTTATAGAAGTGCCCAAATCAGGATACACTGCCCACAAAAATGTTTATGGTACCATCCTGTTTTATTCTATAGGCAAACATTTGTAAAAAAAAAAATCCTTTGATGAAATCCAAAATTAAATTACCACGGATTTACAGTTTATGGAAAAAAGAATTTCAATAGTTATATTTTATTATGAAAGTGACTCAATTTATAGGTAATTTGTTTGAGAGAAGTAAAGTTTTGTGCCAGAATTAAGGAGCGCACAATTAAAGCATGTTGCTTCTGGTCTGCACATCCAAGACTTGTAGACATTAATAATAATTGATTGCTAGTTTAATCAGCTTGATGACCAGCGGAGCATTATGTTTGTGGAAATGCTTTGTTTGAAAATGTTTTAAAACTACGTTGGTCACTGGGACTATTTTAATCCATATGAAATCAAAACAAAGAGCTTGTTAATGGAAAAATTAAACTTGTTTAGATATTTACATCTGTCGATCTATCATAACCCCCTTACCTATTGGATTGTCAAACAATGTCCTGAGATTGTCATATTTATTTCATTCTAAGGTACCCTAAGTCAAGTATGTTGTCTTGATGTAGACTTACTTAATAGGGCAGCAATATCAGCATGG